TGTGGTTGTTGTTGATGCACACGCGGGCGTAAATAATAATATATGACTAACATAACTAATTTTTTTAAGGCAAAAAAAATATGACGAATTTCTTGTGTTTCTTTTTTAATGACCATTAGGGAACGGATTTAAGTGATCTAAAAAACAAGAAAAATAACTTGAAAAATATGTTTTAATAAACTCATAACAGAAATTTCACACTAAAAAGAACTACAAAAATACTCTTAAAATAACATCGAACGAATTTTTTTTTGTTTATTATATGCATTAAATAATAATTATTAATATGATTTTATTGTTTGTCTTTTTCTAGCTTATTTTTACCCTGAAAATTGTTTTGGCTAAATAATAAATATAGAATGTACGTCGAGACAAAACAAATAATATTCTATTTCATTCCACTTAGAATTAATTTTAACTATATCTTTATCAAATTGTATCCATTATCATATAAAAGTTACTTAATAACATAAAAGTTCACTAAATATCCATGTCAACAAATAAAAATTAAATTTTTAAAATTTTTTGAAGTATGAAATGAATTTTGTGCTTGGACAGTAATGTTKTCGGTCATAAAGGAAAAAATGCAATTAGCTTTCAAATCCACTCCCTATTAATTATCACACATAAAAAAGTATAAAAATCAAAATATTTTGATAGGTAATAAGAAAAACTATAATATGTAGGCATATTATGCAGTTTTTTTTTCTCTACAAGATACCTTTAATGTAGCGTAGGTAACAATCGGTAAAAGCTGCCAAAAATGCGCTGTCATCTCGGTCCATATCGTATTMTCGTCGTTTCGTCATCGTCAACCTACCRAAATCCCGAGCCCAACACCCTCTAAAATAATATGTCTAGATTTATTCCCCGAGTGGTGCCGCCGTGTTCTCGRCTAAGAGGCCAAACGTGACAACTATTATAGTACTATTATCTTATTATTATTAAGCGCCCTGAACACAGTTTCTTCCGATTAGAGATTAGGTTTGGCGTGGTTTTTATTTCACGGGGTGTCCGTCATCCCCTTTTCGGCTCTTCACGCTCGCGTGTTATATTAGTATATTATATACGCATGTTATGCGACCCCTTCTCACATCATACGCGATTATAACAAAATAATAATAAAATTATTACAATATAATTAATGTCGTCGTCGTCGTTGTTGTTACAGCTCGTTGTAAATATTAAAGTGGTCGACCCTTTCCGTGTTTCATGTTCTTGACACTCTGCATGCCGTCCCCTCACCATCATCCGGCTCTGATCGTTTAGAGAGAATCTCCCCGTCACTCGCAGGTGCTATTGTATACGGCCACATAAATGAACGCGTAATTTTTTTTTCAGTTCTGCGTTTATTATTGTCTCGTTTGGTAGTTATATGTACTGGACCCGTTGGTGTTTTAATTCGTAAGCGTGAAATATTTTTTAAACGTTAAAACCTGCACCGTCGCACTCAACTAGGTTATGAACCGGACAAACGTGCATGCGTCCGTGTGACGGGTCTCTGATATAACGCCATGGGGAAGACGACAAAAAAATAACCGCAAGGGACTGAAAAACAATGAATGCCTTTTGTTTTTACGACGTTTTCGAGTTTAGGGTGTCCGCAAACYCTGTTGTCGTGCCTCGCATTAAAATACCAAAATGGATTCACGGTGACAACAAAAACATAATGTTCGGTGCAGTAGGTCACGMTTTCGGCTGGGGGCTTAAGGCTATGCTCATCTGAGTGGATTTTTGTCGTGAACGCCTCGCAGAYGTTCATCGTTTTGTAATAATAATAATAAAAATAATAATAATAGAGCCACTCATAATAYTTTTCGCACTAACATCGAAGCGGACAATAATACGAGTATTAAAATAACAACAGCGCGTCCATAGCTTATAAAATGTTTAAAAATCTGCACGTGTTTTGGAATTTTTTTTAATCTCAAAAATCATTCTGCTGTTTTATAAAATTCCGTTGGGCGATATAATATACCTATCTAGTATCTACCTACTTATCTATTTCTAAGTGGTAAATCGTGTATGGCTCTTAAGTTCTATTCAAATAATAAGCGTTCACTACAACTTTCAACGACGCTTGTTCTCTGTCATTTTTTGACATCACTTTTCATTCAATTGTACTGCTACATAATTCAAAGTCAAAGGTTTAAAAACTATAATTTCAAATTTCARTACTCGAAACCCACTTACTTTAAGGAAAATATAACAAAATATAAAGTAAATATCGATTGTTCAAAATATAAATTAAATATCAACTTAGAAGTTATCTTCAAAAACTTCTAACTGTAACTGTAGCTATAATTATCTTGATGGGCAATTCCTCAAAATTAGTGCCAATTTATAAATGAAAGCGTGACGCCACGTGAAAAATTTCAAAATTAGTTGTGACACAATTCAAATCTCGTTTTGGAGGAGGAGACAAAAATTCACGTGACGTTGTAAATTTTACAATTCCACTCGCTCGAACGAAATCATTATTTTCAAAGTTTGTGTGGGAAACCCAATGACACCTTGTATATACTATAATATACAATACTACGTATGTGAACTTTGTGGTTATAACCACCGCAGTAACCGGTACGCACCGATTGAACAGTTTCCGTGTTGTTTCACCCATATTGCGRGTGGGAACGTATTATACTATACGTATAAATGATTGTAYATAAACTCGATGGTACACCRTCGTAACTTATACTGTGAGGTGAGGGAAAAACCACCAACGACCTCGTCGACGATGACGGTCCACACAAAAACGGTCTTCGTCGACAATTCGATCCCTATAAAAATAACACACGTCATGTGCGTACGTGTGTGTCAGAACTTCTMATTCGATACGGCCCAAATTATCATCATCTCACGTACGTTCGATATCCATCGTCGGTAACGTAGTAATTCGCGTACGATGCGATGTTAAAACTGTTTCACTACGATGCGTCCATATCCATCCAAAATTGCTCAACGATGTATGATTCGCAGCACTCCATTGGAAAGAACCGATAAGTTGACTCAACACGCCCACGTTTTTTTCTTTTGATAAAAAAACATAATCGACAACTAACGAACGAATTCAGAAAATAATAATATGATATTATAATCAAGTGGATTCACTCAAAAGTTGTTTTTTTTTTTACGGGCTTAATGCGAATTAATTTGAAAAAACTGATGATGACGAGAGTGCATTAATGATGATTTGTTGACTTGTTGTCCTTAAATTTAATAACGGCAGATCAGTAATAACATAACTACAATCATAGTTTCAACATAACACCACGTTTTGGCCACTGTCAAGTTTGAAAAAGAGACATGGCGTGCGAAAAACCCGTAACCCGGTGTAGAATATCGTTGTGTTTGGTTACATTGTATAGTTCGTGAAGGCGGTGACATAAGCCACATAACATTCTTCACGTCCGATGTTTCMAGACTCTGTCGAATTAGCGTCTGTTTTGTCACATCGATATAAGTAATATTCTAAAAAACYACTGTTTCCATTAAATCTGATATTGTATTCTCTCGCAGTGGTGTAGAATCGATAGATACGTSAATAACATTATTTCAGTGTTCCAGCTCTGTAGTCGTTTCGGGACAGGTGTCGGYGGGGMGTTTTGAAATGTTCGTTTTTGGTCGGATGTGAATCGACTGAAAAAAAATTAAAAAAAAAAAAAGACGTGTTCTGTATTATATACATTTAACTGGAATATCGATTCCGAAACAGCGTCAAAATGTTAGATGTCATGTCAAAATAAACATTTGCGCGGAAGGCGTATTCCGGTTGAAAATATTCATTTCAGGCGATTCACAGCGAATGTCCGCACAAACGAAACGAAAACCGAAAATACAACATTTACACGCTTGTATCATATAGACATTGTTTTGTTTTCCACATAGGCGAAAATTCTGTATATATTTGGCTATAATATTAATACACTGTGCACGTCATGACCATATCGATATTGTCTGCTCGTAYCAAATAATACCCCGTGCAACAAAGGTGTTAGAAATGGGTTCAAAGTTCAAATTGAATAACGTAACTGTAAATAATACCGAGTCACCTCGATACAGAAATAATATATTTCGATCCAAAACAGACATTTTCGGACCATGGAGATATTTTAATTATAACGTTAATTTGGATATTCGTATAGRGTCACTTTCCTCCAGAATTCCCGTGTTGTGATGACAACGACGACGGTTTTAGAATCGAGAATCGGAGAAACTCTTATTTTAGGAATCACCTTAAAACCAGTACGTCATAATACTTTCGTCCTTATTATAATGTTATTGTAAAATAATTAGCACAGAAACATAAGCCAAGGAAGGGAACAGTAAAAATTTCTGATGATACAGCACATATTTGTTTCTCTTTTTTTATGAGTGAAAAACGATTAACTGAATTAACCTATTAACTGAAAACATATCCTCTCAGTTCCCTTGTGTGTGCTCTTGATTATAAATGATTTGTTTCCTAGCGTTTATAAACTGAGTTCCGTCCGTCAAAACAATTTCAATAAACAATAATAATAACTATAATATTAAATATTCCAATAAAAATATGTTTTGAGTACTACTGTAAGTAGAAATYTTATATAAATAATTGCATCTATAATTCGTTATTAATTTAGAATAAAGATTATTATTTCTATCGTACAATTATTAAATTCACTATACTTTGGCTAATTTATATTTTTTAGGSGGGCGCAATTATTATGTTCTTCAAACTCTATGATACTTGTAAAACCTAGACATAAGGATTCTGTGTTTTTTTTAAACAAATTATCATACGACTCACTACTACTATGATTATTATCATTAATAATACCAAAACCTATTTCGTTACTTTATATCATTATTTTGATTCTTATAACCATGCCATATCATTATTATTATCACTATTATAGGTATTATGTGTTATTTGATGTCTTGCTTATGGTTTTTCGTTTATGTTTTTTTCTTCGTTTACATTTTTTATATTTTTGACGTGCATGTTGAGTGTGTCTTTTTCCGTTTGTTTTCGTTTTTCCATTGCCTTGCCCAACACCAGGAGATCTGTTAGCAGGCCTGAGCAAGTTCGCCAAGCTGGCCCGATCCGTGACCAGGAGCAAGACGCTGGTGTCGCAGTTCTCGTCGCATCCCGTTTCTATCAAGGACTCTACCAGGCATGTCCAGTCTCATTTAGCGCACGTGAGTACCACGGGATTTAACCGTTTATTTAATCGTCTGATATAATATTATACCTATGTATTATCATCGACGTTGTCGTACGTTGATRTATTTTAAACTCAGGGACTGGAACCGAGTCGAAAAGAAGCCCAAAAAACCTTTAATAATTTCAGAACTATATGAACGAAAATAAATATTTTGAAATAACCACCCTTGTCTTAACCCTTGATTTGTATTTTTGAACACTAGAACTACGACCAGAACTTCGTAATGAAATTAATTAGTACTGGAACTGAAATAAAAAAAAACATGAGGTACCAGTTCTTGATTTTTATATATAAATCAKTGGTGATGGAGGTGTGTAACAGGGTGGTTTTAACGTCCAATCGTGTAGGATATGCATCTGCTATCCCCTAGCTTTTCTCTCATACCACCCTGACACATACATATATGATGTGCCACTGATATTATTAAGACTAAGTACGTATATAGTCTAATTTAGTCCAAACTCAAACGAAATGTCGTTTTTGTGTTGGACGAGGAAGGTTGGTGGGGTAAACACAACGCGCGATGGAGGAGATGACTGCTACGACGCGCGTAGGTATTTTCCGTCAAGACCATCATGTCATGGACCAGATTAATATACATTTCACATGGCTTACACAGAGTGTGACAAAAACAAATGACAAATATGATTGCACATCTACGCAATAATAACTTTTGTTTTTAGACTTAATTATTTTCAAAACAAAATCTCGAAAACCCATATGCTACGGCATAATTATTTGACATTTGAATATCAATCTAGACAAATGCTGTTTCATTGTTAGTTATCTAAATAAGTTTATTAGATCTTTCTGTTACAAATATTATTATCTTTGTGACCTTGCCATTAGAATTCATTCATAACCCTTTCGAAAAACTTTGAAAATTACTCTTGTAGCACACATTCTCATACTTAGACAATTTAAAAAAAATTCTAGCAAGTTACAAAGTTATCATCGTCTTGACTAACGATTACATCATACATCTATAAAGTTAATCTGTATAATATAAAAGTAATAATATATAAATTATAATATATTATTTAGTCTATTTAGAGACTTTTGTATTAAAAATAGTAATTGTAATATGATACAATGCTTCAAAAACGACCTTCGTCACAAATATCGAATTGTGTTATAGTTAATTCCAGATGGAAGCTTAATATTAAATATACTTTATTATCATTTCTACAAAATCATTTATTCAATTACAAAATATATATATACAAGTATATATAACAATAACAATATCAGAAAACACATTTTTAATAACGTGACAGGTTTTGATATTAAATTTTGTTTTGCATCATATTATAATGTTAAATAAAGAGAAGCGTAGGAAAGTTCATCAAATATCAACAAAGCAACTATGTGTATTCCACAGTAGTGTATTAAGTTTTGAATAACAATACTATGTAAACTCCGACAAAGATAAGCTTTCTAAAACAAAGAAATGAAAGAAGTTAATAACGATATTATATTATTAATAAGGTAGGTATTGCACTTTTGAGTTGGTTTTTTTATGTGTCGGACGTGATTAAAAACAATAATAATTGTCAACTTAATGGAAAAACCCATAAATCATAAACGAGATATTTCTCGCATAATATTTTGAAATCTTATCATCGGTGTAAAAACAAATCAGAAAGACACAATAGAATTTAAGGATAATTATTGCTGAGATACCAAAAAAGATCCCCTTAAAAATGAAATTAAAAATCGTGTTTTTTTCTCATTTTCGTTTTGCATCAGAACAATTTTCAAACCTTGCAAAATACGGTTCATCATTGTAATCAGCGTTTTAGATTTGATTAAAAATGAACGCGTCTAATTAGAAATCTGAAGATAACTTTTTTTTCTACTYTGTTATATAAACGACGACAAAAAAACCTTATTCACTCACGTTAAATAAATTATAGTCAGCAGCGTTATCAACATAATTTTTATATCATATTTTCTATGTTTTCTTTAAGGATTTAAATTTTATTTTTTTTCATCAATAATTTAAAATAATTATTAGAGTCTTGAATATCTCAAAAATGTAAAATACATCATTCTTGAAGTTTATCTCACTTCATTGTTATGTCTTGATCATACTCGCGTGAGATTTTTATTTTAGCGCACAAATAATATCACTTTTTAGGTATACACCCACTCTCAATGATTTCGCCGATGTTAAATCATTATACTGTACCAGACGTATCGTCAAAATATCGATTTTTAAATCATTATTGGATTAGATACACAAATTAAATAACAGAATCCTTATATAACCATTCCTAACAATGTTTTAAATATGATGTTTAGAGTACTACAGATTGTTAACTACATTTTAATTATTGATAAAAAATAAAAAATAACATTTTAAATGTTATTTTTGAGATGTAAAAATATGTCCAATTTATTATGAATTTGAATGATATAAATATTTAACACTCGTTGTCCACCGTTTTCAATGCATTTTGAAAAAGTTGTACATCATGATTATATTGTAAAAAAACTAATAACTGTTCTCTATTCCCCTGTTTCCACAGCTGAGCGAAACTTGGTTTGAACCGATCATATTTGATTACATTTTATCTGTATAAAAAGATCACATTCTATGGGTTTTTATTTCGTAAATAATATTACTTTTATTTGCTGTGGTAGTTTTTTTAACGATGAAATATATTACGATGACGTTGTGTAGGCACACCAACTGTTATGATATCACGTTGAGACGTAATTTCAAATTGACTTTCAATATATTAACGGAAATCAACGTCAAAACTCTAAAGTTGTGCACTTGGAATGCCTTTGAATTTTTGAATTTTTCCATGGTCACGTTGGATCAATCTATTTTTTCGCATAGACCTCGATAAACGTCTCGCCGTGATCATTATTGCTCTTTGGTGTGTATCGTATATACTCGTATGTGTTTTGCAGAGAGGTGTTCCCGCAACTGGATGATCATTAATTACTCGATCGTCCATTGTTAAACCACCACACCGTGACCTCCGGAAACGAAAACCTCTATGCATTATATCCAGACGGTGGTTGAAGTAGATTGAATGTATATATATATATATATATATATATATATATATAGTAACTAGGGAAATTCTCTACAAATAAAACGGAATAGGACACACTGTATGGGTATCGTACTATTTCCGAATTTGTTTCTGTCGATTTTTAAAAATTGGCTCATTAAGAATTATATGTTAGATAGGTACTAAATAATAATTATAATGATAGTAATAATAGTTGGTGGAAATTCTGATTGCTCTAAATATTTATGTAGGTATCCAATTTTTTTTTTTGAACGGTAGGTCAAATGTGAAGTTAAAATCGTTTGAAAGAACACGCGTCGAAAATGGCATGTAAACCTCCCGTTACGTTATACTCGTGGCATAGGAAGTTTAATTAATTTTGTCTTATCGTTCTCTCACGTTTCGAAGGCATTGTTATTGAAACTGCCCGTAAAATAATTTTGCATAATTAATAAAATGCTGTTCAATTGTTTTCGGGGGAGTAACGCAAACGACCGTGTTATACTTGATTAATTAAACCAAAAACTCATGTTTAGACCTAAACGATTGACAAAACTGTAGAATTTTACAGGTTAGACACATTTTAATTTCTTATACAGTGTTCTATTCATTACAAGTTCACTGTGTTTTTACCGAAGTCAAAACTGTTTGCTTTGATATAATAGTCTATAGATATTATATGGCTGCGGAATTTCCAATTTGCTAATTAAAGCTCCCTTTTAAAGAGAAAAATAACCGTCGATAAAATTATATTTTCGAAAATTGTAAGAAAATGAACATTATTCCGTGTGTGTATGGATGTGTGTGCGTATACTCGTATTTGTGAGTATAATTTAGAAGACCAATCTCTACTAAGTGTATGCTTTTTAATCGGTAGCACACTTATTTCCGTGATGGAAATATGGCACATGTTACGTGTCAATACGTATATTACGATCTCAATGTATTCAAGACACTCAAAACGATTAAAAACAGATGTTGGCTTGTTATGTGCGTTGGAAATTGTGCACAAAAGTTTTTTGAAATTGAAAACAGATTTTAATTAATTACAAAGATTAAGTCTAATAATATCTTATAACTACGAAAGCAGATGACTTGTGGTAATAAAAAGTCACCAGTTATGATTTAAACACCCAAATTATGCATTTATTTGCTAAATGAAAAATAATATGTGTGTGTATATTTAAAAAAAATCCAGAATATTTTTCCTTTAACTGATTTAAACGTTCACTGAAAGTAAAAAAATACTATATTATATTTAAAAAATTTAAAGTTAATATATGTTTTGGTTCCATTATATAAAATAACAATTTCAATGGAGAAGATATCGATAAAATTGTTTATTTATTAAATTTACCTTGTAAAGTATAAAATTAAAGAAATATGACCTAATAACAAAAAAATGTCAATATATATATACCTATATAATATATATTTATGTTATATACAAAATAACATTTTAAACTAGATAGTAAATGCATCAAAGGTATTTGTTTCGATTTTCTGATATTTTTTATGATTGTACTGCACAAATATCTGAGTGCTAAAATGTATCTATCTTGCCAAAGCTAATTTTTAATCAATTTTTTACAACTTACTGTAAWTATAGCAAACTTAAAAATGGCATTAATAGTATTCTTGTGATATTATGACTAGTTTAAGTTCCGGTTATAACCGGATAAAGCACATGTTTACGAATCAAAATGTATTTCCAAAATGAAAATATGCCAAATCAATATCCTGTTTTATGTAGTTTTGTCAGGTCTAAATACCACTTTTTGTTTAACAAATTTACGGCACCCTTTAACGTATAACACGATGCGGCTTATTAATTAAGAAATATGACGTACATTACCCGTCCAACGGACAACGTGAATATTATAAATTATAATAATACTACCTTTTTACTATAACAATATCGATTTAATGTGTTTTCGTGTAATTCCGTTATCCTAATATAATAATAACATAATAATTTTGTAAATAGGGTTCACATTTTAAGCAAAAATATTATAAAGCTAATATTATACCCTTAAAAACCCTTACAAATTTGTATATTATAAATGAGAAAAATATGCAAAAATAATCAATAAACATCAAAATGTGCAAATTAAGAGGAAAAAAAAGAGGAAATAGCTGTGTATAAGATGTCGTGTAACTCGTCGTTGAATAGATCACTGTAATGGACATGTTACATTTAATCTCAATGATTAATCATTGTATAAAAATACCCTTTCCTAACATAGACGGTCAGTCAGCGAAATGTTCCGAAATAGTATTTGTGAAAAATAATTTACATGTTTTGTGATTTTTTCAAATTTTTAAAACATTGTTTCTTAGCTAGTAAAGAATGACTATATACAAAAAATCAAACTTTATATGTTCAATATTTTTAATTATGATCCAATCCTGATAATATTAGGTATTTTGTATAATATTATGCATAACTAATAAAAAATAGATAAAACGTGTTTTAAGTATCTACTTATATTATAATTACTATTATAAATATTGAAAATAATTTTGTAAATTACTGATAAAAACTTCAATTAGCTACTGATTAATTTTTAAATTAAAATTAACGACATTATAAAATCGAATATGTAAAAACTAATTTTAGATACAATTATTCCCAAAATTTCAACACTGAATTTGTTGAAAAATGTAAATTTCCCTTTCTAAAATACTAACTATATTTAATTTTCAACTTAAGTTCAATTTCTATCCACAATATTTAATGTAATATTATACTGGAAGCGATATAAAGAAATTATATTTTAAAATATCTCAGTTATAAAAAAAAATATGATAAATGATCATAATGATAATGATAATAATTGCAAATTTAAATAAATAATTTTTTTCTCGTAGTCTAAAATATATATACTAAGATATTCTAACGAAACCAATTGATCTCTAACCCATTACACATAATATATAAATAATTCKCAAGTATGCAAAAGATATTTTTTGTTTTTATTCTTCATTTTCACCAAATTTCATACGATCAATGAATATAATTGGTACGYGAAAACATAAAATCTGAACTCTGTCAAACACAATTTAATTTAGGACGTTGGATTTCCACCTCCACTTTCAATGATTCAAAACTGTTTCAATGTCATTATAAGTCAACTGATTTGCATGTTTAAATCACTACTATCACCTCAGGACTTCTCTTTTAATTATATTTAATTGAAAAGCGCTCGTAGGAAAATAAAACAAAAATAAATTGGGT